GGACTACAGTATACGCCATAGGTCGTTACTCGATCGCTTGTTGTCGGCATCCGGAGGAATGGCATTTTACCTGCGGAGCTCATACATATATTGACAGTTTGCCATTGCATGTGTTCAGCATGTCCGGGGAATTCACGGCATGGTGGGACTGTTGGATGCTTTTCATGCGTGTTCCAAAGCCCCATACCGATCAAGCTATATGTGAACGGACGTATTGGCGTCTTAGTCGTCAGTGGCAAAGTGGTCACTTTCGTGGCGTAATGTACACAGGTGGCCAGTGGGCACGGTTGTACGGGGGCGTTGTGTGTCGGTATGTCCGTACTTGGGAGAAGACACGATTTAACTCTCTCTGATTAGGCACCCGCGGGAGTGAGGAAAGGAAGGGAAGAAGTGGCCTTCCCGAATTCGTGGAAGGGGGCCCACACATAGTAGTCTTTTTCAGGCATACGCATGCTCCTGTCTAAGTACCCCCCCGTGCTGCTAGCAGATCTACCATGCTCGTATCCAGACACACTAACACCCTCCCCGGTTCGTCAAGCTATTGACAAACCATCAGTGGGGCATGGATACTCCAGATCTACTTGAGTTACTCATACAACAACGGGTGCAAGGGAAAAACTCGGCCATCCGGATCAAAAACCCTCGCCTACAAACTCAAAACATAGAAGAAACCGTCGCTATCACGAAGGATTCCAACGGCCGCACTCTCAGGGCAGGACCAAGGCAGGACAGATTGGACAGGCCACGCTGATTACTCACCCGAAGCCATTGGTCAAAAACCCTAAGCTCCCGCCGCGGGTGACGCCCCTGCCCAACGCTTCCTGCGTGACATACCATGGTCCGAGACGCGCCCAGTGCTAGAACAAAACAAAACAAACGCCACGAAAACGAGACCAGAACCCTACATCGGCAGGTTCATCAGAGCCTTCCGGTGGTACTCCAACTTGCCCCTACCAAGGACCTTGGTCAGCATATCGGCGTGCTGCTCTTCTGTCGAGACATAATCTGCGGTGATCTTGCCCGCCTTGAAGAGCTCGCGGATGAAGTGGAACCGCACGTCGATATGCTTGCTCC